AGACAAATTTGCAGAGCGGTAAGTGATAAAAGTTGGATTAAATATGAAATGAAATTAACAGTACCCAGACTTAGCAAAGTTTGAGATGTAATGCATGAGAACTCTGGTGATCGCTTGATCTTCAGCATTAAAACCAGAATAAATCTTAAAAAATTAGCAACATGAATATTAATGCATTATGTAACAATTTTATTTTCATCGTCAAGAAGAAATTTAGAGCTAGATGAAACCTTTTTATACCATTTTATTTCGCAACTATATTTATTATTCATCAATGTATTCAAAATTATAATAACAACTGACGTCATCATCTTTTTTTAATGGGTACCCAAAAATGTAAGGTATTTGATCACCGGAAATGGAACCTCGAATACCACTCTCAAGGCTTTCTTCAGAAGCATACTTTGATTCATGAGCGAACAAAAACCTGTCCAGAAATATTTGCATCGTTTTAATTACAAGTTTTTGGTAGCGAAACAATAAAGATGACTGACTAATTTCTCACAACAAATTTATCCCTTCTTTGAAAAAGTGTTCATTACTTGTCATATGAGAGCCATATTCTGATCTTTAGTGTTCTCATGTAATTGTTTTGGAGTACTGTAAATATTATTATGAAGTTATATGAATTTGGAAGTGATACAGATCTCACATTATTGAAGTTCAAGATTGAAGCCTGAACTCTTACATAAAAGTGTTTGAAGTTTGCTTTATGTCATCAATAGAATGCAGTCGCGCAGTTTCGATCAGTGGCGCAACAAACAGAACATCGCTGAGCGCCGCAAGAACACCATTGCGAATTGTTTTTGGATGACCCTTTGGATTTTCCCAGTCAGTGTACTCATTTGTGACAGCAGCTAAGATTTCCTTCCGATGAAAGTCATATAAATTTCTCACTAACGTCCTACAAAATGTTTTTTACTTGACTTTAGTATGTGACTAGTATTAGACTGAAACAAATATATTTCTGCGTACCGGAAGATTCTATCACGTTTATCTTTGTTGATGCCTAATCGGATATCTTCATTTGGAAGCAAATGGTGTGCCGGATTTGTAGTCACGCCAATAAGTAAGTCAATATCACGGAATAGCGATCCAAATTGTGTACCAAAAAGTGTTTTAGGATTGTTCGGTACAACCTAAAATCAACTTTTTCTTTACTTTTTGAAAAAGCTCTTGATATTATATTGGTAATTTTGAGTAACAGCTTTTGCACTTTAGTAATTAAGCTAGCTGGTGAATGCTACAAGTGTATTGATGAATGCTCTTACATAGTATTAGCTTTTTTAATAGCACACTTAGATTCGCAGTTTATTTAAAAAATACATTTTAATTTAGGAAACATCATTTTAACACATATTCACATATTTTCTGCAGGTTGGAAGAGACAGCATACTGTACAATAAGTAAACTATATCCCAAAACCAGTGACTGTTTAAGAAATGCTCAAAAGTCATTACTTGTCCATCGATAATCGGAGCAAAACGTGACAGAAATGTTGGCGTCGAGATTTTACGTGCAGCTCTTGTAATATTTTGTGGTGAATGATCTTGCATACAACGTATGATGCTCTCAACACTTTTTTCACTGTGCAGTAAGCGTTTCTTCCCGTCAGTCTTGTCGATACACTGTAAAAAACTTAAGCAAACTTCCTGTCTGTTGATAGATTTGCTTAATGAACTAAAACTGACTAATTGTTTAAATTTCAACTTGCTCTTTATACAGATTTGCATTTTACTGACAAGTTATTTGTAAGTTGCAGCAATGAAAGATTCTTAAATCGAATCAAAAAAGATTCGAACTAGGATTAATCATACCCAAGTCCTTTCGAAGTATAATTGATAATTAAAGATAAAGTTGTTTTCATGGAGAGCAAAGTATGAGAATCAGAAGTACAACAGTGTTAACTTGAATTAGAGATCAAAATTCTTATTTTGTTTCGATTTGATTTATTAATTTTTGTATAAACAAGTAGTTGGTGAACATAGTCAGTGCATTACTTTCAAATAACTATGAAAGCAGATCAGCAAATTTTCAAGTTTTGAAATATGCTATTTGCAAGAAATGATAGCCCTTGTCTGTTGGTGTTTTTTAGGACTTAAAATGAATTCCTGTCACAGTTGTTTTTAAAGTTTTCTTTGTTCAAAATGTTAAAATTTGCAGAAAGTTAATTAATTGTCAGTTCACTTAAATTTCAAATGGAACCATTACTTTACTTACTTTGAGATGTTCAGCAAGTTGGAAGAAAGTAGGCTGCGGATTTTCACTCATTGCCCAAGGTGCTAGCGCAGATCCATCTAACAGTATCGCTCGACGAAACATGCGATTATTTGGTTGAGTGATCGGAGATGACATCAACAAAGATACCTTAACATTGCCAATATTGCTACCATTTATGAGCTAAGTAACATGTGGTTTTTTCAAGTTTGTAAAATTTAATGAGTTAATTATATACCAGGGATGCACCGGAACCCCAGCCAAGCAATGTAATCACATTTGGATCACCACCAAAAGCTGGCAAAATATTACTAAGCATTTTGAGAGCTGCGACTAAATCTGACAATCCTGCATTACCAGAACAACTCGATGACTCGCATCTACCCAGAAATCCTGAATTATAATCAGTTTGTGGGTAATAAGTTATAGTATTTAAAAAAATGCTAGTAGTTACTTCATGTATTGTAAGATTAAGAATATTATTTCGAAAATCAATATTAGATCAAGAATATTAACTGATAAGTCATTCATATCTACTTTGGTGCTGTTCAGTTCTATAAATCATTTAAATTATAATGACATTTGAAGATATAAATCAGTTCTTTCATATTACTGATTAAGTCAATGTACCAAAAACTCCAAGACGATAATTGAGTGTGATAACAATAATTTGTCCATATGATGCTAATACTGTGCCATTGTATGGATTACCACTATTCCAACCATAATCATCTCCATGAATCACTACTAAAACTGGTAACTGCTTTCGATTAGGAACCATGTGAAAATCTGAAATTTTCAACAAAAGTTATGCAGAAATAACTTCACAGTAATTATTGAATCCTATATTTCAATTAAAATATGAATAACGAAAATTTTTGGCTTAACTTGGAGAAATTTTAAAAATATACCGATTCTTTCAGGCACATATAGATTCATATACAAGCAATCTTCTGATTGAGGTTTCAATTTTGGCAGTAATTTATGCATATGATCATAACGCTGTGCTGATGTTGTTTTAAGAGCCCTAAAAATTTACGCGATTTTTTTTATGAAACACAGTTCAGTGTGGTTTTTTGAAGATTGAATCAACTTGAAAATAAGCTCATTTTTGTTCATGTCACATTTTTCTCAGAGGAATATGAAGCTAGATTTTTTTTCGATATCTGTGTGCAATAGTAACGCAAAAATTTTTGTAACTCATTTAGGAATTGAAACTTCTCAGAAGAATTCAAACATTTCAGACTTTTTCGATATTAAGAATAAACGAAAACAGCTTCAAATTAGATTGACTACCCTTTGATCTGCATTACTGTTTAAGTCTCAAAGTGAATATTTTATTGAATGCAAAAAGCATTCAGTTTGGATTTGAGAATTCAGTAAAGAGCAGTGAAGAAAATATTTTGTCAAAATTTTTACTGGAACAAGTATTTGCTGATTTTTGTATAAAAATTATTATTTTCAAAATTAACAAATTAGGAAAAACGGTGTTAAAAAGTTGTGAATTAAAAAGTCAATAAATGAGGTCAAATGACCAACTTTGCTTCAGCAAGTTCAGGAATGCCAGATTGTATACAAACGGATGATAAGCGATATGCATCTTTGGGCATATGAGTCCATTTTGCAGCTGATATTGCCATATTGAAACGATACTGAAACGTAATTTGAAATACTTTGAATAGTTACTTATGAGAAAGTTTGTTAGTAAAATTTATTACTTTTAGGCATTCATTGATTGATCAGAATAGTATTTTTCAACAACTTTTGTTAGAATTATGATGATATTTTGTCTTGATTATCGCATAATTGTCATGATCTTTTTTTTTCAGATATGCTAAATTAATGCTTTTTAAGCAAATTTCTCCAAGTGATTAAATCATAAAAAATTATTACTTGGCCAGAAGGTGTAACACCATAAGGGACTCCAAGGTACTGTGTTACTGGTGGTAAGTCTCCTACATTTGGACTTACCATTTCCCCTCGAAGTACACCGAAGGTAGTAGAAACTGTACGAATTCCATGATCACATCTAGGTAGTTTCAATACGTGATATTAGTTTTGCAAAAACTATAAAAGAAATGGATATAAATATGCAAGTACATAAAAATAATACAAAAATTCAGACAAATGCAGTACAGTAATTATTTTGTGAAAAGTCTTGTGCATCTTATATTTTCATCATATAAGTAAGCGAATACCAATGCTAATTATTATTCATTTAAAACATTACTATCAATTTTTTCACCAAGTTTCTTTATCAGTTACTCTTCCTTCTAAGTAGCAATTTTACAGTTCAGGAGATCAAAACTGATACTAATTCTCTCTCCAAAAAAGATAGAGCCAGTTTTTTTACCACTGCCAGTGACTAAATTCTAGCTGGAATTTCCCTGGGTTTAATTTCTGCTCGTCCCAACTGCGTGTAATGGGTTGCAGAGAACTGTATGCAGTTCTGTTTTAGTCTTTAGAAAAACGGAACTTGGAAGAAATTTAAGAGTAATGAAGAAAGAGAGACAAATTCTGTAATTATTATTGAAAAATATGGAGTACATTTAAATTATTCATTAATTTGCAAAAGTATTAGTCGAAAATGACAGAATTAAAAAATCTAAACAGCAATTTGGCAAATGTTCGGTAATAGGTCGTTTATGATAGTTTTTAAAAACAAGACAAAATAAATATTTATTGTTCAGAATTAAAAATTGAATATTAAGATCATCAATTACTGATCTGCTAGTGATTTGAGATCTCATGCTGAATTTCAAGTGTGATCTGAAAATTTTTACTTACCATTGTATTGAATTATTAGTTTTACTTTAGCAATCATAAGTTAAAAAATAATAATTAAAATGCTTACCTGATATGTTTTATATGTGAAACTGCGATAACAAAATAGCAAGCAAAAAATAAATCCATAAGTAGTAATTGTCAATTTTCAGCAGATTTTATGATTAACCAATACAAAGTTTTATTTGCAGAAGCTTCAACCACCTTCTTTTTCACCTTAAAATTTGAAAATTTTTGCAATTTTTAGCAAAATTAATGTCAACTTTTATTGTAACTATGATACTTTTTTCCATATATGCAAGCAAGTTTTTGGGAACTTTTTGAAGCAAGAAATATGCATAAATACAAAAATAAGTAAAATGAAAAATAAAACCGAACAAAAGGAAGTTGAGAAGTGAAATAAGTAAGACAGTAGTAAAGTAGTTGAAAAAATTAGAAAGTAAATTTATTAAACCTAAAAAATAAAAGGTAAACTTATCAATGCGTGCAATCTGAGCATGGCAAAATTGATAATTATAATCTCAATTTCTTGAGATGTTTATCAATATTACAAACTTATCATAATATTGTATTTATTGGTTCATCTCATCTATATTATAGTAAAAATTAGATTTAAAATTACTGCATTATAGTAATGCTGTATAGTATGCTATCTTTAAAGATAACAAATGTATTTGATCCGAATAAAATAATCATTAAGTTTTTATGAATCATAGTTATCAATTAATTTCGACGATCATTGCTGATCAGATCACTGTCAACCCTTACTGATATTTTTAATGGAAGAAACTGTTTTACAAATATGAAGCTTTTTTAGTACTTTAAATATTTAGAAAATCCAAATTTAGTTATTAGCAATTAGAAACAGATAATAAGTGATCTTAATTAGTTATAATAACAAATAAATAATTTTGACTTGTCAGTGAACTTTATAATAAATCAAGCAAGAGATCTGTCGGGTGTAGAGAGAAGCAATGAATTACACACCTTTCATTGCTTGAACAGTTTTCTTTCGATGCATCAATAATCCAAAGTCCAATTTCAAATCAGAATTTTGTAATTTTAGTCCTGAAATTAAAAACTTTCAAGATCAATCTTATACATCTAATTATAAATCAGAATTTGTTTTATTACGCTAGTGATTAATACGTGATTAAATAATTACAGTATTTGCTTATTAATGCCAATTATACCAGTAATTAACAAAAAACTTGTGTTATTCCTAACTTTTGCAATAAGTTTTAGGTGTTTAAGTAATTTTTAAGTCAAGGATTTAGTCTTTAAAACAATAACACTGAATGCAATTATCGAAAAAATTAGTCACTTTGATTAACTGCTAACTGAGGGCATTTTTTATAATTACACAATCACTATATGAACTTTAATGAATATCTGATAAAAATAAGGTTAATATTAAATTTTGGTTAGCTTTTTGATCTATGAAGTTCACTGTAGAGTTCAAAATACATAGGCATTACAAAGGCTATCTTTGCTTCCTTTTATTGCCTGATCTGATTTTTTTACTTAGATCAGTTTGATTCAAGCATAAATTTGACAAAAGAAGTATAAAAAGCTCACTTCACTACAAAAATTGCAAAAAAAGCTTGCGATTTATTTTGGCTATTTGAACACAAATCTTGTTTAAGTAAAGACGAAAAAAATCTTTAAAAAACAAAAGTATTTAGCAGATAAAAGTTTGCGACTTTAATCGCTCAACTTGTCGCTTAACAATTAATTTTTCATACTCAGTTTGACCATTTTTACTTTGCTAATTTGATTTTGCTAATTAAGCATAACATGATGATAACGTTTGCATAAACTAACAAAGAAATGTGCATTTTGCCGAGAAGTGTCGTGAAAGTTTCTTATGGAATACAAATTCTGGTCAGAAAATTGAATAATGTTCAATCATTGAGAAGATTTTCCATAAATTATTCGCGCTCATAAAAAAATTGCCAAAAGGTTTGTTTTGCTTCACAATGTGTGAACTAATGCGAAATTATTGCAAATGAAATTGCTCTGAGAAAAAGTGAATATTTTATCAAAATTTATTGCAAAATAGAAAGAATAAATGGTACAAAAATTTGTCGATTATAAATAAATGAATTCAAAGAGGAAACTTACTTTACTTTACTTTATTAACTTACTTTATTTTACTTTGGATTCACTTACTTCAATTATCACGAATAAGTATTGTAAGGTGTATAATTTTTAATATTTCTGGCAGTAATTGTTGGCTAACTTTGAGAATAAAAAAATGTAAGTATAAAAAAGTGAAAAATTAAGTGAGGAGGCACTACCTGCTACTGTTGAAATTAAAAAAGATCACATTCTCAACAAACCTTCAAATTCTTCAAAACCATAGCTTAAAAATAAAAGCTAACAACAATAAAATATATATTACTATTTGCGTTACTCAAATGACGTTAACAATAGCGATAGTTCACGTAAGTAATTAAGTAAACAGACAGCTGTGCACATATCAAAAGTACACACCACGTCAGAGTAGCAGCTGATTTTAACAATGCTTTTACAAACTTTTATTGACAGCAATAAAGTATTATATATCAGTAAATTATCAGATAAAGGAGAGCATAAGTATACATTCCGTTATATGCAGCATTATTCTCTTAAGTAGTTCTCACAAACTGAGATAAATTCTCAATTTACTTGTCTTGTAAATTACTGCAATTTCTTTCCCATAAAGTATAAAATTATGCATGTTTTTTAAATGAATAATTATTTTTTCAACAAACTACAAAAGTTTAACACGTATAAAATGATTTATCTTACATTAATACACACTTAATAATAATGTGTCTTACATACAAAAGCCACGCTTTCGTGAAGATATAATACAATATATTTCAGTGAAACTATAATATTCGAACAGCCTGCTGACAAGTTAAGCGATCTGTTCAACTTGGTGCATAATTTTTCAGAACAACTTTTTAAGCTAAATAAATTATTTTTTCATCAAAAAAGTATGAAGTTTTTGGTTCCTACAAAATTGTTTCAGGCAGAAAAGTAATGGAATGTTCAAAATGTACAGAAAAAAACTTGTGATTACCTTAACTGACACAGAATTGTATACTTTCGAGAAATCATAAAAATATAAATGAAACGATAAAATCATCTCATACGGATATGCTTATCATGGAAGAATGATAGATATGCAAAGTAATATCAGATAAAATCGAAGATAACGTAGTGCGCAAAAAGTTTTACCAGCAAATTATTCAATTAGCATGAAAGTTGAAAAACTTTGTAAGGAATACACTAAAGAAACATCAATTTAGCTAAGTGCTACCAACAAACTAATAATTTGATCGAGCAGAAAAAAAATTTAAAACAAAATAGCAGTTTCGTTATGACTTAGATTAGATTTCTGTGTGATTATCACTTTTTATAATTGCAGTTATTAGATGCAAATGATTTTTTCGATTTGTTTTTGTCACAAAACGTATTTCGAAGTAGTTAAGATATAATTCTTCTCAAACCATCTGCCAATTCTTGTGAAAAATTATAAAAAATAATAATAAATTTCTTGATAATATTGCCAAAATGAATTGTTCACAACGATTGATCACGAAAATCAAAATGCGAAAATTCTGAAATCACAATTTTCAATTATTTCAATCAATCATTTTCATGTAAATGATCTGTTCAAAATTAAGGATGTATTGTGAACAAGCTATTTATACTGTTGTATTTTTGGAGGTTTTATAAAAAATAATTGATCTCTAATTATTTTTAAATAAGTAAATTCATATTTATAAAGAATCAAATACAGACAATTCTTATATTAATGCCAATTAAGTAGCGATGTAGGTACTTAAAATTTGAGAAATTGACAAAAAAAATTAATATTTTCATACTTATATTTTTTACAATGAAATAATCATAGTAATATTAACATACTGAAACTAGCACTAATAATGATATTAATTTTATGAATAATTAAAGTTGTGTATAAAAAAGCTAAATAAAAAGTTTATATTAGATTTCACAAGCTATTATAGAAACAAACGCAAGAATAGAATGCTTCCGTCCAATTTCTAAAGCTTATCCAAACTAAAAATAAAATCGTAATAAGCAAATAGTTATTTCTTTAAAAAGAATAATACTTTCGTTTTATCAATTACTATTCTAAATGAATAAAAAAAGCAAAAAACTTGAGACATAGAACA